CTGGTAAGATCATTTCGTTTCTTTACTTTTAATGAAGATGATTAGTGTGTTAAGCGTCTGCGACTTACTTTCACTTTGATTTGCGATAGTTTGCACGTTGGCTTGATGAATAGATGCTCAGCTGCTCATCTGCGGTAATGCGTGTTGCAGTAGCGACGTCATATCTGACTATAACATGACATATAGCCTATATAACACGCTCTCACACGTTTATTTTTTAGCATTTTTGTGAGGAGTGAAATTTACATATGTGGTTTCAACAACCAGATGCATTTACACTTGTCCAGTTTCATCTGGAATGCGGCCCAGACCACCTCCTGAAGTGGTTTGAGTGATCGGATTTAAATCCGTCTCGAATGCGTTTCAGAGGGCATTTACACCTGGTCTTTTCACGATCGGATAGCTATCCGATCACAGAAAACGCATGAAGTGGCCAGGTGTAAACAGCCCCTTACAGTCAGCTCAGGCCGACGGTGTTTTTATTGCAGTAAATGTGCCCGCCGTCCCGCGCCCACATTCACTCACAGACATGTTAGCACTAAGCCCCACGGGGCTCGCCCCGCTCGCTCTCTCTCAGCAGACTGCTATAAGGGAATCGAGCGCGGCCAGGCTGCCCGCCTCAAACACTGCAAGCACACATAATCTAAAGACACGGGAAGCTGACCCACTGTCTATAGGCGGACCGGTTGACTGTTTGTTGACTTTTGCGACAGTGCTGCGGAGCTTGTGGCCTCTAGGGACGCTAGACGTGAAAGTTACAGGTCGAGCGCCACTAGTGGCCAAAAGTTCCGCAGTGTGCCTTTAATAAATATGCAGCGCGAGTTATATATTTCTAACTCCAAACAATTAGCCACTGGACCAGCTTATAAAATCTTCTTCAAGGCTGTGCTGGTTGCATTTACAGGTCATGACGTTTCTCAGATTTCGCTTGAGACCGGTAAGCATTAGCCTCGATAGTAGTCGTGTCTCCTTCATTGCGTATTTTTATATTTTGAATATATCCCTCCACTGCATACTGTAAAGCCTTGTTTATACTCGACGCGTCCGCAAGAGCGCGAAGGTGCGCACGGCAAAATGACGTAATTGCGGTGTGGGCGGTCGTGCGCGTTGGGTGCGCAAGACCCCATTTCGCCTGACGGTGTGCACGGCACTTTTTGTAACATCGCGCGCCGCGCCGCATCCGAAGATGAACGACTTCGAGCCGAATCAGGCCGAACTGGTACGTCTGTACTAGCCTCGTGAGACCATCCTGATCTCGCGAGCGTTCAAGGTTTCACTCGCAGATCAGTCTGGATACTTTCCGTTAAAGAAAATTTGGGAGCAGTTCACCAAACGAACGTCCAATCAGCGTTGGCTTTGAGGCGGGTTGAGGTGTGACGCAACGAGAAGCGCGTCAGTTCAGTCTAAAGAACATGTCGGCTTCAGCGGATGAAACTAGCATCAGCGTGGCTATCGAGCAAGTTTTATCGGAATTACAGAGTATTTCTTCACTGAAAGAAGAGCAAAACACTGCTCTGGAGGCTTTTCTCAGAGGAAAAGATACGCTCTGTTAGTACGTCATATGCTTCGTTGATCTGATTGGTTGATTTGGCCCGTCTATCACCAACATAGGCCAATCAGCTAACCAGTATTTTCGCCCCTTACCAAAACTACTTCAACGGAAGGTTTCCAGATGGATATGCGGAGCAAATCCATCTGGCGGAGTCAGGTTACGTCTGTACCAGCATGTTTATGATCCTTCTATACACAGAGACATTTGCATTGATGGGCGACCATAAAAGCCTCTCATTTTGTGAATAGGAACACATTTGCATTAAGCACCCAGTTTGCACTTGTCTAAAGTAACTGCTTACATTTATAAAATAAGCCTACAATAGCAGAAGTAAGCCCTGCTGATGAAATTAAGGTTTAAACACTCTTCAATAAGGCTTCAGTTGTTTAACGAGTTTGTACAAGAAAGTACAATACATCTACTGCATTTATTACTCTTTTAATATGAATCAGCTATTAATAAACTACTAATAAACGGCAAACTACTTCTTCACTGCTGATTCCTGGTGGTTTAGAGGAGAATTACTCCAAGTCGCCCCCTGTCGTTTCACAGAATAGCACAACGGCGAGCGCGTCAAGTATAAACGCCTCGTCCGTTTGGAGAGGTGCGCGCGCAGTCAGCGGAGACTCGCGCTCGTGCGGACGCGTCGAGTATAAACAAGGCTTAACCCCTTTTGCCTCAATCTGGAGGATATCGCTGAGGTATTGCTCCAAAAAAGGTCACTGACACGCACGGGTATACCTCTTCCCGTCATGGCAATCTGTCGCGCTGGTCGTATTTGACCATTTATTTGACGGGCGTAGTAACAATAACTAGGGGCCGTGGCTTTTGCGAACGGTCAATTGTGTGGTGTCATAGTCATCGTCTTCACTACACTTCCCAGTATCGCTCGTGTCTTCACACCTGAACTCACTCCCTCGTTACACACCTGTTCATCGTCATCATCATCTGTCTCACCTGTCCTCACCTCGTTAGTGTTCATTTGTATCTGTATTTAGTTTCCCTCTGTTCAGACAGTCCTTGTCGGTTCTTGTTTATGTTACCAGTGTGAATATTGCCGTTGTGTGTATTCTCTGCCCATCTGTCTTCCTATACCTGTTTGTTGTATTGAGTTTAGTAAAAGTTTAATTTGGAACTTTGGACTCATCTTGTTCTTCAGCTCGCACCAAACCTGTGACACGTGGGTTGCGTGGTGGTTAACAAAGCTACTGGCAGCGGCAAAAGTGTTCAAGGCCAACAGGGTCATCTGCTATCTTTCCAGATAACCCTAAATGCAACGGTCATAAATCAAATAAACCACTTTATCAGAACCAGTAACTGAGTAGTCAATATAAGGGGAAATTCATATTATGGTATTGCAATAAGACCATACATTGTAGACACGTTTCAGTAAGGCAAAATCATAAACTATAAATGTATACTCAAAACGTTACTAGAGAGACGACTTTCAGAATGAGCACCTTGGAGACCGACATTTTACAACTTAAAGAATTAGCGGAGTCGACTGGTGGCAAGGGTTATTTAGATTCTTTGTCAAATAAAAGGACACAGTTGGCTGATTTACTAGGTATTAAAACACAAGGGCTCTGGTCAGGTCGAGGTTCCAGAGTGTGGACCAGATGGATGCTCCATCCAGGTTTTTCAGCTTGGAGAGAAAGAACGGTCAGAGCAGAGTCATCCATGCTCTGTGTTCTGAGTCTGGGCGATTATTGACAAACCCTGCGGACATTCGTAGGAGGGCAGTTGTGTTTTAAGAAAACCTGTATAAAAATGAACTTGGGGTGGAATACAGGAGTGACAGTGAATTTTTCAACTCAGTTGTCTGAGGAAGCCAATGCTGAGATCTCTGCTTTGAGCATGGGCGAACTGTACAAGACCCTCCAAGGAATGGAGTCTGGAAAGGCACCGGGCATTGACGGCCTGCCAGTAGACTTTTACAAGTCTTTTTTCCGCAGAACTAGGAGAGGACCTTCTGGAGGTATTGAATGAAAGCTTGGCTGAAGGCCAGCTGCCGTATAGCAGTGTTAACCCTCCTGCCCAAGAAAGGCGAACTTACAGACATAAAGTGCTGGTGGCCCGTATCACTGCTCTGTAGCGACTACAAGCTGCTCTCAAAAACTCTGGCTAAAAGGCTAGCAGGAGTGATGGATGGTGTCATCCATCCTGACCAGACCTACTGTGTTCCTGGTAGGTCAATATTTGACAATGTTTCATTGGTTCGTGATGTTGTAGAGGTCTCCAAGATGTTGAATATAGATTGTGGGTTAATCTCATTGGATCAGGAGAAAGCATTTGACCTTGTTGAGTATTGCTATTTGTGGAGAGTTTTAGAGGCCTTTGGGTTTTGCCAAATGTATGTAGTTGTAGTTGCTATGGTTTCAAACATGCTGCAAGCAAGAATATTGATTGATTTTGCTTATTACTAACATGTGGATGATCTGATCACTTTTGAAGGTATTTGGTGTTGTAATGAGGTGTTGTGCTCTGTATTTGAAGGGGATCTGGTTTTTGCATATTTCTTGTGAGTTGGGGTTGCTCTTAATGCATGTTGTAATTTAAATATATTGTGAAATATAATGTAATAAAAGTTTGTTAAATTTAAAAAAAAAACATTCTCTCTCTCTCACGCACATATGCGGAAATCGAATAAATACTTTGTATTTGGTTGAATTGTCAGTGCCATGTGTCAAATCTTTTCTTCTGCAAGTCTCAGCAATTATTAATAACAACAACAAAAACACTAATAATAATATGTACTTACTATGTACTTATTATAATAATTATAATTACTGGGTAATAACTAGGTACTAACCCCATGTACTTACCTTATATTAGCCAGTACTTTCTAGGTAAGTACACTGTAAGTACACGTAAGTACTGTACTGTAAAAGGAAGCGTTACCAATAATATTATTAATGAAACACCCCCATTCCCTTATGTCTAGTTTTGAGTGTTTTTTGTCAATTCAGGTAATTTAAGGCAAGTCACCTTTATTTATATAGTGCTTTTTACGATGCAGATTGTTTCAAAACATCTTTACTGTGATAACAGGAAAATAATGCAACATAATGCAAGTTTGTTTCTGCTGTACAGCAGATCTAGAAGAAAATATAGAATATAGTCAAGCTTAAGTTCAATGATGGTTCATTTTTGTTGTAAAAAAGTTATTAATTTAGTTAATATATATATATATTTTATATATAGCCGCTCTGGAGAAAACGGTTAATGGTGTCAATACAGGCAGATCAATAATACTGTTGAATATTAAGTGTCCCCAACTAAGCAAGCCAAAAGCGACAAAAGCAGAGTCCATTAACTCTCGCTCTGACTGACTCTCTTACCAGTGCACTGAACTACTGAACTAGAGCTGATAGAGACCCACAGAGATTTAGTTTGGGTTTATTTTTCTTTGTTAATTATTCTCATCTTAAACATGGCAAACACACAGAAAAACTCCTGGTGAAGCAACTGAGATCCACGTGACTCACTATTATAAAGATAGCTTTTATTAAAGAGGAGAGTAAAGACGTGAAGATTGAAGAAACATTCAGTCTGAAACAAGAAGATACTGAGGATCAAACAAAGATGGCTTTTATTAAAGAGGAGAGTGAAGACTTGAAGATTGAAGAAACATTCAGTGTGAAACATGAAGAAACTGAGGAACAAACAGGTTGGTTTCATTCTCAAAGCTGAATTCAGTCATTTGATCCTTATTAAAAATGTCCAGCTCTACAGAAATTAATGATATTTTTGAAGAATGTCAAATGAGTTTCCTAATTAAGGTGGTTTTATTTATTCGAGTCACCTCATGTGGTCAGACATGTTGAGATCATGTGACCAGACAAATGCTAATGTTGCCTCCACCTGAGAAGATCCGACTTCCATTTGTTATTACGACACGCATTAAACTAGGAAAAATAATACAGAAATAGCATTTTACAATTACTTGTGTGACATTAAACCCAAAATCAATTTCTAATTTAAAAACAAAGAAAACCATATTACTTAATTTAAATTTTTGTAAATCAAAGCATGCAATCAGGAGTTAAAGCAAATAAAAATTCTGAGCTTGGACTTTTTTTCTGGGGCCGGGGGGCAAAAAGAAAATAATAGATTAGATTTTTAGAAAATGATTGTCCTTGAAACTAACTAGTAACGTATCTCCCTTTGCCATTAGCCCTGGACAGGCTCAGACTACAGATTATGGTGGATAGTTCGATAGTATGGTGGATAGATAGTTAGTTCGATTTTTAATTTTGGAAGGCTATCATATATTGTCTTTTCCACATTATTTGCGTTGGTGGACCGTGGTACCTCTAGGGGTGTCCGGCGGCATTAAATTGTACAAAGATTTGTACAATTTAATGCTAAATTCATTAATCTAGAGCACTTTGAGAGTTCAAAATTAAGAGCTACAACCCATGTTCAGTGTACAAATTGAACAAAATATGTCTGTTTATTGACTTGCATAGATATATACACTAAATGTCGCCTTGGCTATGGCAGTTCATTGGAACGAATGCGTCAATAGAGCCGCCATCATTGAAAAGGGGAGCCCCTCCTCTTTAATGCATAAGCGTCAATGTTGGCAAAGGTCTAACGGAAATAAAATCACCATGAATGCGATTTTCTATTTTTTTTTGGTTCGTTCCAATGGCCAGACATGTATTTATCATTGAGTCCGGAGAAGAAAATACATTCTTCCTAGTTTAGATTTCGTTTGTGTGAACATCCATACGCAGCACAAAAGTCTGAAAATCCATGAATTCGAAGTACAGGCGGAGATAGCAGCGTTACCTAGCTACTTCCTATGACAAGTCCCCTGTTCCAAGATGGCGGCGGTTTTGACGCATGCTTAGAATCCCAAGGTGACATATAGTGTGTATATCTATGATTGACTTGTACCTGAACTTTAATAGGGGCTCTAGGGCTCGTGCGCTAGAGATGTGCAGATCTGCTCTATCTTCTCCTGAATCCGCTGCTTTAAACTGAAAATTGTTTTAAAATAAAGGTTGTTTAATTCAATTAGAATATTAAGGCACTATATGGCTGTAACTAATCAAATTATATCATTTACACTGAAAAAGTAAATCGTATTAAATAAGGTAATGAGATTGTTTGTAAAATAATAATAATATACAAATAAGAAATTTTGGAAAGAATGATACTTTAAAACTAAATCGCCAGTGCGTGGTACAGGGGCGATTCTAGGATTTTCATTTTAGGGGGGCTCAGCCCCCAATGAGGGTATGAAAAAAAAAGTTTGTTTATGGTCTAATGCTCATTATTAAGTAGTTACATTCATTCATCCAGTAACATGCATATGAGAAAGTGAGGTATATAGGGGGGTTCGGGGGCATGGTCCCCCGAGAAAATTTTGATTTCTCTGATCTACATATGTGCATTTTAAGATGTTTTGAAGGCCAAAAAAATTGGATAACAATAGCTTTAAAACCATGTGCGGGCAGCTGTTTTTTTTCTCTCCTCATCAGCATCACACTCTTTTTCTCTTTGTCTTTTCCCCTCCTAAAGTTGAGCTTTGACTGATATAGGCTTTTCATTTTTGTCTGTCAGTGAAGAAAGTAAACATAGGGTCAACTGATTTGTATTAATTTATGAATAATTTTCTCAGACAAAGCTACCAGGAAAGCTATATAACTAAGTTTATTAAATTCATTCACAATATGTACACATTCATTATTGATCATCTAGGCCTAATACAGGGCCGTAGACAGGGCTTTATAATCAAAGAGGTCATAAATTTGAAGTTGTTATGGGGTTAAACATTTTTATTTCTCTGATATGTGCATTTCAAGACATTTGAAGGCCAAAAAAGGATAAGAAATAGATTTAAAACCTGCTCTCTCCTCATCTCCATCACTCTGTCTTTTCCTCAGTCTCCTGATCTTGCCCTGTCTCTTCCCCTCCTAAAGCTGAACTTCTCAAATTTTTATCTGAAGGCTACAAATTGTATTAATTCTCAACATGTACACATGCATTATTAATCTTGTATGAAAACGGCTTTGTTAATGTTTCTTGTCCCCTCACAATGACATAATTACACGTTATATAGGCCTATTTTCAGCTTTAAATGGTGAAATTAGACAAAAGTGTTTTAGTTTTCTAATTATTTTTGTCATTCTTTTAACATTTATGACCTAAAAACTGTCAAATATAAATTGTTTAGTTTAGCTACTTACATTTTCTTAACTCGCACCTGACCGTAAACTGAAGCGTCAGTCGTGCTGCTCAAATTCGCGCTCAGCGCTGACTGTGAACATAAAGCCTGCCTACTTTGATTTGATTGGTCATCTCAAATATTCTGACATTGACGAGCAATGAAATACCAATGAGGCTCAGAAGCACGCACACACACACACACACACACACACACACACACCCTGTCCTCTGTTTCTGACGTGCAGAGCGCTTGGCGCTGCTGCGGATTGAAGATGAAGAACACTCTGAATCTGATTATAACAAGACTGAAGCGAATACGAATGTGTGTAGCCTACACTTAATCACAAATGTTTAGGGGGGCTAGGCAGAAGTTTAAAAAGGGCCTAGTGACGCCTATGGTTCTGCGTGTGTTTCGCACTGGATGACGGTTGTGCCGAGAGGAGAAGTAAGAAGAGAAGAGGATGACACCATTTGCTAAGCGGGGATGTTTTAATTTTCATCCTTAACATACATTTTAAACCACAAACTACGGAGTATGTTTTGGACATTGTTTAACCTTGTCAAAGACGAACACATTATTTTGAATAACAATATTTCTTACTCCAAGTTTTAGGGGTGCTGAGCTCCTTTTTAGGGGTGCTGAAGCACCCCTAAAAAGGGGCTAGCCTCGCCCATGGCGTGGTAGCAGGTGACTGTCTTAATGAGTGAGTCGTTGAGTCATTCATTCAAACAATTCTTTCAAACGGCTGATTTATTCAGAATGAGGCGGTTGTTTATGAATAGGCAATTGAATCTTTGACTCAACCGATTCATTCAAAACACTGAATCATTAAGTAATAAAAACGCGGTTAGTGTTCCTGTGAGATGTTTGGAACTATTTTCGCTGCTGAAACAGAACAAAAACCGTCAATATTGCGTCAAAAATGTAAGTGACTTAATGTGTTTATTGGTGACTTAATTTTAATTACTTGTTTATTTAACTGTTATATAATCAGTATGACATTTTCAGTTGTGATGGTATTCAGGAAAACAGCACTCTTGGTCGTGTGATGTTGCGTAACTGCATATGTACTGTAATATGTTATAAATAAAAACACTCCACATTTTGAATTTTTGAATTTTTTGAACAGGAGTTTCTTTTATGTGCTGCGGTTATTTGTTTCGATTTCTCCTCGAGAGGCTGAAGCGCAACTTTGTTATCGTCAGTACATTAGGTAGGCCTAGGTTATATATTATTATCAACCATCAATCGCCACTTACATTAAATTAAATTAATATATATATATATATATATATTGATGTTTTAATCAGGCCATTTGTCCGGCTGGGCAAGTAAAACTCTTTTTCACTTGTTTCTTCAAAAAGTTCCACGTGTCCAGCACAAGCGTTAATGTCGAGCCCTGGCATATGTTTTCCTTGATTGGTTTTCCCAGAAGAGAATTACGTTGTTGAAAACGAAAGTAAAAGAGAGACTCAAGTTCATCGCGTTTTACTGTGATGAGAGTTCTGTGTCATTATTAAACTCAACACATTAATGATTAATCTCTCATCCAACTGCGATTAATTGGAATGTTATTTTTTTAATACTTGGCCCGCCTGACCCGAGGATATAACCGTAAACCGTGCATAACTATCGGCAAACTATACGGTTTGAGAATGGACACAGGCCGGAAACCCGCAACAGAACCGTCACGGTGGAAAATCGTGGTATCTGAGCATGTGACTATCTATCTATCCGACCGCCAAAGCAAATTTTTGTCCCGCCAAAGCCTATTTTGATCGGTCTTTGATGTAGAATAGAGACTGCTGCGCTTGACAGGGCGCGTTACGAGCAGAGAGAGCGCCCCAGCCGCGCGCGCACACGCACGCATGCACGCACTCTGACATCTTCAAACAAGAGCGCATATTAATCAAAATCAATTTACATGATAGTAAAAGCTCGGAAGACCGCAGTTTCACGTGGAGCATTTGGAGATTTTTAGAGATTAGAGACTCTATGAACAACATCTCAACACTAAATTATAAAGGCCCGTCTCATATAGACGCCTGTCTCAAATACAAGCCGGTGCAGTTCGACAGTTTGGGAAAATAAAAGCCCGGGCTATTATTTGAAGTTTTACGGTATCTGAGTTTTGTCAAGAGCCAGAGGCTCTGACGGAGAGCACTTGTAAATCGCCTACTATCTTGACCGATGCTAAAGCTAGCAGGAGTGCGGTCTTGAGCGAAACTGGCCTTAGCTCGGCCAACTGTAGCAGCTCAAACGGGGGCCCTAAGGATCATCGATGTGTCCCTAGAGGGTATGGTAAGAAGGCGAAAACGGTTGAGCCTTGACCCTTTCAGGAAGCGAACAATCAGGTTGCTTCTACCCAACGATTGCCCGGCCACAGGAGTGTGGAAAGCTGCTATGGCCGCCAAATAGACTTTGAGCGTGGAGGGGCAGCGACCCGCGTCCAGTAACTCTTGTAGAAAGGAAAGCACCAGCGGTACTTC